GCTGAAGGGGCTGGGTCCTCCAGAGCTGAAGCTGGACTGGAAGGAGCTCAGGCCATAGTTGAGGCCGGGGCTTGTGAGGCCCCCGTAGGTCAGCCCACCTGGTCAGGGACAGAGGCAGCCACATGAGTACCGGCGCCCGTGCACGCACCAGGCTCTGCGCCCCTCTTCCTGCTCATGGCCCCAGGGGCAGGGGTCTAGCCCAGGTCTGCCTGAGGGGTCCCTACTCCAGACTTGCCAGGGGAAACCAAGAGCAGGCTGGCAACGAGCTTCCGCAGCAGCACGTGACCCTGGACAAGTTATCTAACTGGGTCCCCGAGTCGTCAGCTGAACAAGAGGGAAATGGACGGGGGTTGCATAGAAGCCTGTAAAGCACTCGGCACTGTGTTACCATTTATTTGGGTCTCTTCCGTAAATAACTATATTCTTTGGGTCTAAGACATGACCCCATCACTGTGGGATTCTCCCAAGGACAGGAATCCCGGTCCTTTTCTTGAATCCTCTCCTCGCCTACTCAGACCAAGTCACTCCATGAGCTGAGCACAGCCCGCTGCCCTGAGCCTATGCCTCCCTGGGCCCAGGAGCCTCACCTGAGTAGCCGCTGGTAGTCTTCGTATGGATACTCATGTTCTGCATCCCAGATTCCAGCCTATACCAGACAATGGAACGTCAGGACTGACTCCTGGCCCTTCTTATCCCAGAACAACAGGATCCAAGATTCAAGAAGGCTACAGGCAGCACCCTTCCCTAACCCCCAGGGCTCAGGATGGGTGCCAGGTCCAGTCAGAGACACCACACCCACCGGCTCTCCTCGCCCTCCAGCAGCTTGCGGTAGGTGGCGATCTCAATGTCCAGGGCCAGCTTGACATTCATGAGCTCCTGGTACTCGCGCAGCTGCCGTGCCATGTCCTGCTTGGCCTGCTGCAGAGCTGCCTCCAGCTGAGCCAGCTTGGCATTGGCATCCTTAATGGCCAGCTCCCCACGCTGCTCAGCATCAGCAATGGCGGCCTCCAGGGGAGCTCTCTGTGGGAGCAGCAAGACAGGTAGCAGGTAAGGTCCAGTGTACTTCCTCCCTGCACCCACTCTCCTTTTCTCCTTCTTCAGGGCCCTCTTCCCTGACCTAAGCTGACTCCACCCAGCTCAAAGGAAATGCCACCATTAAGATGGAGGAAGCAAAAAAGGGAAACAGAAGCAGCTTCCAGACACCTCCCTCATACTCGCCCCTGTGATCCCGTTAGGTGCTCCCACCCTAAATGGACAACTGGTCTCTGCTTCTAGATTTTCCTTAAAGCAGCCGAACCCAGCCATACCCTGATACGTAAGGCAGATTAAATAAAGCAGGCTTGAGGGCCACCCAACCTACCTGCCCTAATCCTCTCATCCTGTCCTAGCCCCATGGAGCTGCTCCTGTCCCTCAGCTTCCTAGGAACAGTCTGGGGAGCCCAACTGTAACTGACCCCCCAACTTCCAAACTGTGAGCTAGGATTCCTTCCTCGGCCCCCAGGGCCCTCACTCCTTCCCCCATTATCTCTTCTCACCCAGATGGGTCCAAGGATCCTCCCTATCCCCAGTCCAGATCATACCTGCCCCTTAAGGCCCTCAATCTCAGCCTGGATCCGGCTAATGTTCCGGTTCATCTCAGAGATCTCAGTCTTCGTGCGCCGCAGGTCATCCCCGTGCTTCCCAGCCAGCGTCTGCAGCTCCTCATACTGCAGGTGAAACCAGCATGGCTCGAGAGGGCACCCCTGCACCGGAGGTGCCCCCACCAAAGGAAGTGCCCTCTTGGCCAGTACCAGAGCCGGGGTCATCTAAACCTTCCATGCTTCTATATACACATGCATGCAAACACACACACACACACACACACACACACACAATACTGAAAGCACCTCCCAGACCTTAGGCACCCACTCCCCAGGCCCAGCTCACAGTAGGCAGTGGAATTTGAAATCCTGCTCCCTCCTCATAGAGGACACAGAACTGTCCAGAAGGGGAGGACCGGCTAGCGACCCTGCTCATCACCTTGATTTGGTACATGTTCTCAGCTTCAGCACGGCTGCGGTTGGCGATTTCCTCGTACTGGGCGCGGACCTCGGCAATGATGCCGTCCATGTCCAGGGAGCGGCTGTTGTCCATGGACAGGACCACGGACGTGTCGGAGATCTGGGACTGCAGCTCACGGATCTCCTACAGGGGAAGCAGGCAGGTGGTGAGGCTCCATCCAGCACACAGGAGCCCCCACTTGCAGAGCACCTTTCTTAGGGATAAGAGAAGGACAACAGCAGGAGTAACTGGTGGGAGCTAGGGCCAGGGAAAAGGCGAAGTTCCTGAAGAAGGAAGATGGGTCAAAGAGCTGGAACATGTAGGGAGGGAGAGATGAAACAAGGTAAAGGCAGAAGGAAACATGGCTTTGGACGAATAAGCAAGGGGAAAGACTTGCATGCTCTGAGCCACTAATCCTGAGCCCACAGAGGGATCTGGCACAGCCCAGAGACTGGGAACAAAGGCTGTGGGGATGGAGGGGGCCTGAGTTGCAGCTGGGTCACCACTCTGAGTGAGGACCCTAAACAGGCTGCTCCGCTTCTCTGAGCCCATTCTTCTGACCTGTGAAATGGGGCGATAAACTCTTCCTTGTGCAGAGGAATAGAACATACAGAATATAAGGGAATATCAGTAAGTTCACAGATAAATGAAATTAAAGTATAAACTTATGTGGGTGCAAAACAATTGAAATCCATACATAATTTTATCATGCTATACATTTTCTGTGAGCTTTGTGGGGGGCTTATATTGGTAGCTGCAGTTGTTAGGTGGTGGCCTATATGTGTTGGTGGACTGGGGACCGTTGGAGCCTGTCTGGGGCTAAGGGACCCTTCCTCTGTAGCCTCTGAGAACATACCTCTTCATACAGCTGCCTGAGGAAGTTGATCTCATCGGTCAGCCCTTCCAGGCGAGACTCCAGCTCTACCTTGTTCATGTAAGCTTCATCCACATCCTAGGGGGACAGGTGAGGAGGGCCTCAGCTGAGAGGCCATACCCCACCCCAACAAGAGGCTCCCCAATACCCACCCAGTGGCCCAGATGTAGGCCCTCCCTTAGCCCATGCTGTGACCCGATCCTCCAGCCCAGCCTGTGCCTACTTCACCTACACTCCCAGCCTACATACCTTCCCCTCTGTTCCTGCAGCATACCCTCATCTACCTCCTCCTCCAGGAAGCTTCCCATAGCCAGACCTCCTCGGCTGCATTTTCTTAACCATGTCCCAACATGGATGTCCAGAGTTCTGGCCAAATGCATTCAACTACTGCCGTTCTTGTCTACCTTTGTATACTGGATAGCAGACACTCACATGCTGAAAGGATGCATTTGTCTTATTATTTAGAAACATTTAGGGACAGAAGCCAGAAAGCTTCTTAGTCTGAGTCTTCAAGCCTCTGCCTCCAGTATCCAGACAAAGGTAGAGAGATTTCCCTCACTTTCTTTTCTCTTTTTCTTTTTTTTTAAGAACTACATATTTAATTTTATTCATTATTATTATTTAATTTGACCAGAGAGAGAGAGAAAGTGAGCTGCCAGGTCGAGAACTTGAACCACAGTTAGCTATGTGGGAGCCCAGCCCTTTAACCCCTCACCACCTGCTGGCCACTCCCCTCACCTTCTTGATGAGGACGAATTCATTCTCCATCTCTGTACGTTTGTTGATCTCATCCTCGTACCTGGTGAGAAAAAGACAGAATGAGAGAATGAAGGGCCAGAGGAGGTTGCCCTGAGTCTTCTGAGAGGCACATGAGTATCTAGAAAATTCACTTCTTGGTGATGTACGATATGACAAGGCTGGTCCTTCTACCCTCACCAACTACCCTCTTTCCATTTCCATGACTCCCACATGGCCCAACTGCAGTTCAAGTCTTGGACCTGGCAGCTTGCTTTCTCATTTTCTCTCTCTCTCTCTCTCTCTCTCTCTCTCTCTCTCTCTTTTTCTGGTGAGTGCACATTCTCTATAGCAAAAAAGTTTTTTAAATAATAATAATAAAATTAAATAATTCTTTTTAGCATCAATTATAAATAATACATATGTTCATATATACACTATATAATATATATTATAATATATATGCATACATTAAAATTATAATATATAATATATAAAATATATAATATATAATATTGTAATGTATATATATAAAATATTAGAGAGAGAGAGAGATAGAGAGAGGGAAAATGAGAAAGCAAGTTGCCAGGTCTAAGACTTGAACTGCAGTTGGGCCATGTATGTATAATATATATACATATATATTTATATAATAAATAAAATTTGTTGCCCAAATCCAGGCAGCTCTGAGATTGTGAGGATGAGTGATACTATCAATAACGCCAGGACTTTGACAGTAAACACAGATTTTCCCAAGCAAACCCCATCATATCATCGCCATCATTAAATAGGACTGCACTGCCCACAAGCAGAAGGCCCTGCAAGTCGCTGGTCGCCAGGTGGGGGCAGGGCAGGCTGACTTGGCGGGATGGTTTCAGGGAGGCTCACTTATTCTTGAAGTCCTCCACCAGCCCCTGCATGTTGCCAAGCTCCGCCTCCAGCTTCAGCTTCTCCTGGCCCAGGGTGTCCAGCTGCCGGCGCAGGTTGTTGATGTAGCTCTCGAACATGTTGTCCATGTTGCTCCGGGCTGTCTTCTGCTGCTGCAGGAGGCTCCACTTGGTCTCCAGCATCTTGTTCTGCTGCTCTAGGAACCGGACCTGCATGAAGGAGGAAAGCAAAAAGGTCTACCTCAGGCCAAAGTTCAGAGTCTGGAAGAAAGGAAACACCTCTCCCCTAACCCACTCCCCAAGCAGTGAGATTTCCAAAACCCAGGGACCCTAGCTGTTCTGGGAGGACCGCCTATGACCAGAGGGAGACAGCATGGTAAGATGGTGAATGGAGTAGGCAGCCAAGTCCTCTAGATTTGGGGGAAACACTTTAGGAGGGGAGGCATGATTGGAAGGGACAGCTAGGGGAGGGGGAGCTCTATTTAAATCACATTTGCAAAACAGACCCTCTCCTTACACAGACTGTTTAGGACAGTTCAATAAAAATAGCCAAGATTTCTAACGATGCTTTGATTTACATTCTACATAAGCTCAAAAAAGAAAATGTAAGTTGTTCATATCAAATATCATCATCATCGTCATCATTACTTGGAGTGACTGTGATTGAGGTTACAGGAAAGCCAGTCCTACTGTACTAGCTCTCACATAGCTGAGGGGTTTGAATCCCAGCCCAGATGCCTTGAAATACACTCCAGGTACAAATGCTTGTGTGCCCCAAATCCTTACAGGGTGGAGAAATGGAAGAGAAGGGATTGCAGCATGACCACACACCACTGGGGAACGGGGTGATTTCTCCCTCTCCCTCACTGTCACTGTCTCTCTCTCTCTTAAACATATGTGCCTTCTGGCAATGAAGGAAAAGAAAAAAGAAAAAAAACCTGAATGCAGATAATAGAGATGCTTTGGTCCTACCACCCAGAGAGCACTGACCAAGCTATCAGGGTTCTAGCGAAACAGCTACTAACCTGTGCTGCATAGTCTTGAGTTGCTTCCCCTTTTAACCTTGGGTCTTCTCAACCCTGCAAGGGCCTATGGGAACTCAGGCAGGCTGACAGGCCCTTTCAGGAGCCCCATCTCTGTATAGTAGCCACTTTATCCATCAAGAGAAAATAAACTAGGCAGGTCTGTCTGCACCCTGAATTCCTCCCCCACCCACGGCGCTCCCTTTGAGTCTCCTGAGCATCAGAGAGGGTCTTCCCATGCCACTCTTGCCTCTGAATCCATAACCCTCTCCTCCGGCCCCAGATACAAAGTCCTTGGATTTTTTGGGCTCATGGAGTCTAGATATTAGAATGAAATTAAGGCATGGAAGAGGAAAAAATTTTAAAAATGAGTGAATAATAGACTCGTTCTGAAAAGAGGAATGCATTTTTTAATCAACCCGAAGTTACAATTCTTTTTAAACTAGGTATACTTGAAAAGGAAAGATAGCTTAAGAGTACAATCTCGGGAACCAGCAGTAGCGTAATGGCTATGTCGCTGGACTCCCACGTAGTCGACCACAGTTCGCATCCCGGACCCGGTGGCTTAGAACTCACGCCGGGCGCGTGTGCGTGCGTGCCCAAGATGCCGAGAGGAGAATGGAGGAGAAGGGATTGTGGTGTGACCATCCCCCCTGGGGGGTGATTTCTCGCTTTCTGTTCCTATGTCTCTTTCTCTGTCTGTCTGGCGAGCGCACGCACCCTATAGCGAAAACCTCTCAAAAAAAAAAAAAAAGAGAGTACAATCTCTTGGGACCAGCAGTTGGCATAATGGCTATGTCGCTGGACTCCCATGTAGTCAACTGTGGTTCAAGTCCCAAACCCAGTAGCTTAAACTCACGGGGCGCCTGTGTGCCCAAGATTGCCCAAGACCCAGAGAAAATGGAGGAGAAGGGATAGTGGCATGGCCATCCCCTTTGGGGAGGGGGTGATTTCTCGCTTTCTGTCTCTATGTCTCTCTCTGTCTGTCTGGCGAGCGCACACGCCCTATAGCAAAAACCTCTCAAAAAAATAAAATAAAATAAGAAAGAGTATGATCTCTTTCCTCCACCCCTTTCTGTAAATCCCTTTCTTCCCCAGCTCATTCCGCTCCCAAACTATAAAGGAAAATAGTGATTAGAACATGTAACCCCAATGGTATGCTCAATGTGGGCCAAGCACTGCTTAGCTCTTTACACCCATCACATGCTTAAATAGGCAAAATCTCTTTAGAGTTAGGGGAAATCAGATGTAGCAAGGTAGCCCTTCAAAGACCCAGCAGGGCATGAGAAGCAGGAATTCCAGCCCCAAAGCCCGCTGGAGCGCTCTTTGTAAAGACCGCACACGGCACCAACGTAGTCGGTAGGCCAAGCCAAAGAGGCTTTGCAAGCTAAGGGGCCAGCAAGCCGGCCACAGAGAACAGGCGTTCCTGGCGACTCCGATTCCTACGGGTTCAACTCTGCCCCAGGATTTCTCTCCCCCAGTTCCCACAATGCCTCCCAGGAGCCAGTCAGCAGGGAGCGACCCAATCCTCCTGCCTGGCCCGCCCGGCGTCCAGCGGCCCCTGAGGCAGCAGAGCCCCAGGGCTGCAAAACCCGGCCTGGCTCTGTCTCGGCAAAAGTGGAGCCAGGGCGTTGGGGCGGAGCCAGGGACGAAGAGTGAAAGGGCCAAGGGCCGAGTGGGGAGAAGGGCGTGGGCTGACAGACGCGTTATCTGAAGCCATAAAGCGGCGTGTAACAGGACAGGAAACCTGGGCGGGGTGTCCAACGCCCTTAGACTTTGAATCCTAGATGCGCTTTCCCGAAGCCAAATCCTGGCGTGTCCCCAACCCCTAGCCGCGCTCCACCCCACCCCACCCGCACGCGCTGAGAGCCCAGGCTGGTAGCCAAGCGCCTCCACCGACGGCCGGCCTCTGCCCGTCACCCCACCGCGGGGCGGGGCTCTGACCAGCCCTCCCCGCCAACATTGCAGGCTCCGGGGTCAGGGGCCAAGATATGACTCATCTGGGTGCCCCCCACATTCAGGCCTTGGGGCGCCAAAGGCTCAATCAATATTTGTCCAAGTACTAGACAGTATTTCCTTCTGCTAGGATCCTATCAGATCTGCATTTTTTGTGTTTTGAAAAAGGAAGAACAAAGCTCGGTAGGGGAGGAATGAAATAGACTGGCACACTGGGTGTGGGTCAGTCTGCAGCCACCTGGACCCTCCTTCTATTCCCAGGACCCCAGCTGGCCAGGGGAGATGGAGAAACACACTTGAGGGGCCCTGGGCAGTGCTATGGGAGAGGAGTAGGCTGGAGGAGGGGGCTTCCCTCCCCACAAGGTGAACAGCCAGCGAACAGCTGGGACTACGCCAGGCTGGAGGCTTATAGACGGTCAGAACCCGGCTTGGGGGTGAGAAATGGGAGGGAAAGAGGAACCTCCAGGACAAGAGCCACAAGCATCAGCCTGGTCCCATCCCTGCCTCAGCCCAAACCAAAATGCCTGGGAGGAGTGAGTGTGGGTTGGAAGGGGGTGTCCCCAGCGTGGGTAGGACCCAGGAGGAACCAGTGGGGCGCGGGAGATGTATCCACCAATGAGGGACCACCCCGGAGAAAAAGGTGCAGGCCCTCTTCAGGCGGTGGGCACAATGAGCCACACACCGGGGAGTGGGGGGGACCCTCACCTTGTCGATGAAGGAGGCGAACTTGTTGTTGAGGGTCTTGATCTGCTCCTTCTCCTGGGTGCGCACGGCCTGGATGTTGGGGTCCACCTCTAGC